AAGACATTGCTGTGACCCACCTGCAGCCGTGGCTATGCTCTGATGCAGCATTCATGCTGCAATTTTTGGGGTAAAAAAGAAAAACATTGATCATTGGCTGGCTCAGCTTAACAAAACAGCTGTTTGGGAATCCTTTCAAACCTTAAAACTCCACACCTACCTTTTATCTTTGCCTTCTGTAGCGCATTTGTTCACCTGCCTGCAAGCACTCAAAGTGACTCAGAGTTAATAACGGAATCTGAAAGGTGTAGGGCTCACATCTTCATAATGCTCTATTCACCTACATGTGCAAATAAGAAGGTAAAACTGTTTAACAACTCAATTTTTCACAATCATTACTTTCCACAAAAATTCAGCTCATTGACCTGATTTCAGTTTAATTTTGACAGCTTTCAGTATAAACAGCAGTTGTGCTGTAATGTACTGGACAGAACCCTGAGAAGGGAGCCTATGTCAGACAAAGGGCCAACATGATCCTAAAATGTTAGAGTACCAGCCAAAATTTTAGCATAGAGGTGACAAATTCCAGCAGAACTAAACTGATAGGCCATACAAGATTCCCTGAACTAGAGAACAAATCAAGAATCCCGCAGCAACTGTGTAGGAGCCACAGATATTCACAGCTCAAGTTAAGAATCTATCGACAGGGTTGAAGGTGTAGCACACATGCAGGAGAAGCTGCACCGATCACATGAAACCAAAACTGAACTTGGTGTCCTACGTACAAAAATGTGAATTGTGAAAAAAAACCTATAGTTTTCACCCGAAAAAGCTAAGATAAGAACCTGCTCTCATTTTAGTTGAGTACTGAAACTTTTGTAAGTAAAGTGCATCTAATTTCAATTGCTATAAATCACCAGGAGAACATTAGGTAAAGTTTAATGTTCTACTGATGATTTATAGCAATCTCCAGTAGAACATTAGACTTGACTTAAACATTTTCAGGACAGAAAGGCCTCAGGACGGGATTGGACGAACACATTTCGAACATCGCACTGCTTATTTGATTCAAACTGGTCTTGTTTTGAAAGTTACAGCAGAGCAATAACTTCCTCGCACTTGTGCATGACAATGGCTAATATCTTTGTGCACATTTTTTTTAGAAACTATAATGTTTGAATATTTTCCTTTCAACAAAAAGGCAGGATTCACACACCTGTTTATGCTATTTATGCTAAGTGTGTTATATTTTGCCTTCAATCAGCTTTGGTGACTCTGGTTATCTATGTTCACACAGGCCTTAAGGCCATTGATTTACATCCTTTGAATAGTTAAAAACTGGGAAAATGGTCATGAAAATGTTGAAAAGTTTTGAAATTTTTTGCATTTTGTGTAGAATTTTTTTTTAGCGTTGAGAAACTGTGAACATTTTGTTTGTTTTTTCACCATTTTATGGATTTTTAAGTATTTTTGATCAGATTCCTGCTTTTTATTAACACATTTTTTCTATATTAGAGTGTGAGCTCTGAAACATGTAGAGATGGAGAGACATCTAAACACATATGCATGCAGGAGCCAGGGATCATGGTAAAATAAGGATGAATAGTGAAAAGCAGCTATTTATCTGAGCTCGCTCAGGCCTCCTGGGACCTTCACTGATGGAGAACAATAACCGGTTTAACTTCATCCACTGACCTGCTCACAAACACAAACAGACTCACACACTCCTCGTTCTGTTTGAGATGGTCAGCCGCACAAACACAGCTGTTAGCAAACACACACATTCATTATACCCAACAAGATTCACTCCTTTAACCTCAGAACAAACTCCTATATTTTTGTTTTGGCTCACTCAAAGAGGCAAGTCAAGAGTCCATCCAAAAAAACTGATATGTGTGAGAGTATGAACAATTTTTTATTTTTTTTTTCATGATAAAGAGTGCATGCTTTGAGCAATATATGAGTAGGTGCTTTAAAGTGGCTGATTTGGATTTTTTTTATTACTGTTTTTTATTCCATATTATATATGGATATATATTATATATATGCAGGTCAGAACAAAAGACAGCTAAATACGTAAAACAACATTTAAATGACTGCATGTTTTCCTATAATGGTGTAGCCCAGACATTGGAGCAGGAAACCAAGCACAGTCAGGAATGTATGGAAGATTGAAGGATTTGTTGATATCCCAAAAAATAAACAACAGCTGGACATGGAGCATGGGCCGGAAAAGAGCCGTAACAGGTGGAAGTATGAGCACTGAAGATCAAAAAGTGTTTATATGTTGAGGCAGGTTTGAGGACTGACAAAGAATGGCAGTGTGTTGATCAGGAGAAAACATGGAGCAGCTGAGTCAGGACGTAAAGAGAGTGAGCTGAGGGAGGAAGACTAATTAAAGCAGGAGTTCAACGTAAACCCAAAGAAACACAACTAACCTCAGGGAAAAATATTAGAAAACAGAAAACTATAACATATATGAACAAATACTGAAAACATTAACACTTCATAAGGCATTCGGTGAAGAGAGTCATTGGAGGACAGACCCAGACCTTATTACTTCTGTGACATTTTAAAGAAAATAGTTATTTTCATGGCAAACATCAGGGTAAATGTAATTACAAAAAAATATTTGCTTCCCTTAATATGGAAAAATGTGTGCTTCTGTAAGAAATTCACGACAAACATAGACTGAAAGAATAATGTTTTATTTGTTACAACATAACCCTCAAGACATCAATGCTGATACAGGTTATAACTTTTGAATCATCTTTTTAACTTTTTTGCTCAGCTTATTGTGTCAACCTTTTTTTATTATATTATACAAAGTTGTGTACATTAGATTACTGATATTCTGTGAAGCAGGTACACTCAGTTACACCTTGCAGACCCTGCAGACCACACCTGACCTCATAGTTTTTCTTGGTTTGCTGCAAAGTGGTTAAGATAAAAGGAGTGGGACAAAAGAAAACCAAATCACCTGCAGATGGTGATGACTCTTATTTTGTTCACTTTTGATAGATTTACTAAAGTCTTAAAGTCATAAGTTTCAGTTTTTAGTTTCAGGAAAAGTATCGTAAAAGTGGATTTTTTTTTTTGTACTGACTGTTTTCTGCTACATTAGCTAATATGCAAATGTCATTATAACCCCTTTTCTCTTTTTTTTTTGTATTCTTCTTATCCGTCTTTGCTTGTTTAGCTCCTCTTTAAAGTTTCATTTTGTTTCTGCTTCTGCGTTCCCAGCCATTCCTCTTGCTTTCTAACCTCATCTCTTTGTTTTGATGCCTTCTTTTGCTCTTCTTTCCCTCGGTCCCTTCCCCCAGTTTTCCCACCTCTGTGCTTCATCGCGATCGGCTCGTCCTAGCAACTGCTATCGCCGCCGTCTCTGTCCCGGCAACGGGTCGTCGTCAGGGCTGCTGACCTCTGACCCCACACAGCTGCTCAGCCATCGTGTGTCCCCTCATTCCCAGTCCTCTGCTCCCTGCTTGTTCCCGTGACCAGGAGGGTCACACATGGGAGCCAGCGCTGAATTCAAGGAAATCTCTTTCAGTTTTTCCCCCAGCCCAAAAGATATAGGAGAGCATAGAAAAAGTAAAGGGAGGAGAGATGACCTAGTAAAAACAATAGGGAATGGAGAGAATGAGGCAAATAACAAAAATAAATTAAAGCTCAAGAATATAGAAAATAAATGTTTAAAATGAAAAAAAAAAAAAACATTCAATTTTATGGACAAAAATTAAATGCAATATATAACAAAGAGGGAAGGACTCAGTTTATGTGAATCTTTTGAGGTAGTTATCCTTTGACTCATGAATTGCCTCTGCATGTTATTTTTTATTTCCAGGAGCTTTTATGACATCATGCTGTTTGTAAACGGTTAGTAAAGATAAGGTACTCATTTGACCACACTGCCACTATATTTTGTTATTAACAGTGTCGTGCAGTTAGATGAAATATATAGAAGTGTTAATATATGTAGATAGTTACTTACACCATATAGTTGTATTTGGTCACATTCTGGTTGTCTGACACATAGTCCGGCAGATGAATTGATCATTTTAACGGTATAGTTGTAATCAGATGGATGATCTAGCTGTCATACAATTAATTTGACTAATCTGGTTTACTGGTCATCTGAAATTAATTGTGATTTACTTACTAATTTACTGCTAATCCTATTGGTAATCTGAGTTGTTTACTGGTAATTTAATTGTGTGGTGCCCCTAAATGTAATGTTATTATTACAATATCATAAAAGTAATTATTTCATAAAAGACAGTAAGGCTATTTTAAAAGGGCAGCCTGCTTATGACAGAATTTCTTTTTCCAATATTTTAGGTAACCAACGTAGGTGTCTGAACTATATACCTTTTCTTCTTTTTATGTCCCTAATGTTTACAGTAACAAACAGGGTTAATATCTTTAAAAAAAAATTCTGTTTACTGTTTTTTTCAGATGGATAAACCTTTTCTCATAAGGAGGCATAATTTTTTGCAAAAAAAACTACATTAACCATGACAGAGTCCCATCATCCTGTGTACCCTGGAGTGAATAAAAATACATTGCCAAACCAAAATTTCAGGTTTTGTTCAAAAATCAATCACTCAGGGCCTGCTTCTTGTCAATATTATACATATGGATCATTTTACCTTGCAGCACATCAAAGCATATTTGAAAACTTGACCTTATTATAGAAATAAAAAGATAAAACCTGCATTCTATGAATGGAGCTACTAAAACTTCTGCTGTAATCAATAAGAACTGGTAAAGGAGCTACATGTCTTCCCCTTCCTTGAATAAGCTTTCTCCTGCTTTTCTGCTTCTGTGCTGCAATTGGTCGGGCCGTGTATGCTGTCACTCTGTGCATCAGGATTACAACTGGGCTTCATATGAAATAGTTCCAAAGAAGCTTAATTTAGTAAATATTTGAAGCAGTTAGATTGCTATATTTTGGTTTCAGAACAATATAAAATGAGGAGGATAAGTTGAGCTGTGTCCTGGATCCAGGTGCTGTTCTCAGTGTAACCTGAGCAGAACTTTATTAATAAATAATGAGGCAGTCAGCTCATAAGTCAGACACAGGGAGCTTTTTTTCTGCTAGTTGTCCTGTGAAGAAAGCACCAATACTTAAACAAACCGGCCACTGGAAAAATATTTTCAGGCACCGTCTGGCCTTCTGTTCATTTAGGATTTAGTTTGAAGATTGTGCTTTGTTGTTTTTGTTGTTTTTTTTTTTTTTTTTTGGTTTTTTTTTATCTAGGCCTGTGAGGAACCTAACCAATCATGAATCCTGAATAGTAAGTTTCTTTCCTAATGCGGTGTGCTGCTTTTTAAATAAGTTTAAATATTCGGTTGCTGCCATTGATTGAAGACACATCAAGAACAGCAGATGTAGAAAAAGATAAACAGATATACATATTTGCTTCTTGTCTTTTTACTTTGATATTAATCTTTAAACACAATCAGGTCTACACAGATAACATTTAATAAAATATTACTTAAGGAGTCTTTAGGTGCTTTAGATAATTTAGCGTTATTCATTAATGCAAACGTCAATGTGGCATTAAGTTAATCGTCGGATCACCAAACTCCTGTGACACATGGTTGTTGTAGTCTTTGAATTATTCCAACAAATATAAAGCAGAAATAACCCAAAGTTTATGCTATTTCACAAACCTTGTGATATTGCTTCATTTGAGAACAAATTTAGCTAAGAACTCACAAAATCTTTCAGAAGTAGTAATTCCTAGTCATTTATTTCCATATTTCTTAACTTAAAAACCTCAAACTTCAATGTTTTGGGGGTTTATTTAATAGTCAAGTATCAGATAATTGTAAACCGGTTAGTAAACCTTTGTATAGTTTTTGACATTTTACATAAAAGTCTAAAAAGATGTTATTAAGCACCTGAGTGAATGCTGTGTACAGCCTTATTTTGATCTCCAGTCTGATGTGTCTTCACCAACTGTTAACATCAGAATAATTAACTCATTTGTCTATTTTCCTTTGCAAAAGAGCTTTAGGAACATTCCATTCATTTTTATCCCCTGCAACATATTTTCACTGTATTTTGTGTGTACTGTGACAGGGCTGTTCTGTTACAGAAATATATTTCCACCAAATAAACTATATTTCAGGTCCTGCTGGAAAGTGATCATTCATTCCAGTTTTCAGTTACAGGGAAATATACAAGACAAAAAGGAAGAAAAAAGCTTGGAAAGACATTAATAAACTCACCAACAGCTAGTCCTGTAAACTTTTCCTCAAGGATCTTCTCATACAGAATTCATGGTGGTTATCTACAGTAGATCTTCCCCAAATCATGATCATTCAACCAAAGTTTAAAGGAGGCTTATTTTCCTGGATTGTGGCGAGTGAGGTCTTAGCTTATCCTTTCTGTGGCCAACTGTAGTTTGATCCTCATGCAAAACAGACAGAGCAAACGTTTCCTCATTGCAAACCTTACTGGTTAAATCTGTGTGTTGTTTGTTTATGGATGGATGGATGGATGGATGGATGGATGGATGGATGGATGGATGGATGGATGGATGGATGGATGGATGGATGGATGGATGGATGGATGGATGGATGGATGGATGGATGGATGGACAGACGGGTGGATGGATGGATGGATGGATGGATGGATGGATGGATGGACAGACGGACAGGTGGACGGATGATGGATGGATGGATGGATGGATGGATGGACAGACGGGTGGATGGATGGATGGATGGATGGACAGACGGACAGGTGGACGGATGATGGATGGATGGATGGATGGAAATAATATAGCCTTTGTTTAGACAGGTTTCTGCTGCATTACATCATCAAATTTTAAACATGTAAATCAGTTTAAAATCAGTTTGTAATAAACTTTAGGACAATGTGAGCAGGTGGATTTTAACCTGTTAATATAAGTGGTAAAGCTTATTGTGGGTCTATTTTTAAAGAATCTAGTCAAAATTAGCTGGATTTACTAAAATCTCATATCCGTTTTAATTCCCGTCCGTCTCTTTAGTGATTACCTGTTTAAGCTTCTTCTAATTGGCGACTCTGGAGTTGGAAAGTCCTGTCTTCTGCTGCGTTTTGCGGTAAGGACCGCTTATTTTTATTGGAAAAGGAAAAAGGTCCCAAGCATGCTGAATTAATGAAGATAAGAAACGCTTCCTCTCGATTCAGGACGACACCTACACTGAGAGCTACATCTCAACCATTGGAGTTGACTTCAAGATCAGGACCATTGACATGGATGGGAAGACTGTGAAGCTGCAGATTGTGAGTTTGAAAAGTTACTGTGAAACCATTTCATGCACTCTGTTTAAACAAAGGATTTAGAAAGTGAACGCTTTCAAAACAAACTCTTCCCGCAGCTCTTTGCAATACAACTGGTATGCAACATTTCTATTTTTGTCCTCAGTGGGACACTGCAGGCCAAGAGAGGTTTCGAACAATCACCTCCAGCTATTACAGAGGAGCACATGGTATCATCATTGTTTACGACGTCACAGAGCAGGTCAGTGTGTGTTTTATCTTCTCTACCCTTTCAGTAAAATAGGAGGGTTTAAACATTAACAGTGGAGCTTCCCCTGCTTCCTCAGGAGTCCTTCAACAATGTAAAGCAGTGGCTGGACGAGATAGAGCGTTATGCCTGTGAGAATGTCTCCAGGCTGCTGGTGGGAAACAAATCGGACCTGGTTGGTAAGAAAGTGGTGGATGCTGCCACAGCTCAGGTAAACAGGACAGACACAATGGTTCCTCTAAAAGCAGATTAAGGATCTATTAACTCATTGGATTCCTCATTAAATTCGGGTTATAATAACGTTCTGAACTGAATCCCTAGTGCCACAACATATCATGTGTATATTACGCTTAGCTTCTTTTAGGAAATAGAAACTTTTAACATAATCAATTAATTCCTGTTGCCATGATAGATATATGAAACAGTGGATTTTTTCCTCTTTTTATCTGGATTATCTTTTAAAAATAAGTGTGGAATGGAATGGTCTTCGGGCCAGAGTTAAAACCAAACATTTAAGGCAAAAGATAAGATAAGATAAGAGATAAAACAAGATAAGAGAAAAGCGATCTATGTTACCGTATGTCTCAATGCTTTTGTTTTGCCGTTTCATTGTTGTTTTTATAAACTAACAAATTACCTTGATGTGCTTTTATCAGCTACAAACTTTTGCATTTTCCACACTATCAGGATTTGGCCTTATCCCTGAAGATCCCCTTCCTTGAGACCAGTGCCAGGAGCTCTGACAACGTGGAGAAGGCCTTCCTCACCATGGCCTCTGAGATCCACAAGCGGCTGGCCAGTGAAGGAGGGGGCATGCAGGGTATGTCGACACAGGCCAGGGGTCAGACCACCAAGATCAACAGCGCACCCGTGTGGCTCGGTGGGGACAAACAGACGCCGGAGACCAGTACCTGCTGCTGAGGGACAGTGAAACACGTCCACATCAATTATCTCCAGGGCTAAATGTATACCCAATTGCACTTATTGTCATGTTTACTGTTAAAGTTTAAACATAAAACTAGGATGCTGGAAAGTTGTTTTTTCAACAATCTTTCTTGTAGCAGTATGGGGGAAAGTAAATGAAAGGGAATGTTTTTTTTTAAGTTATGACAACTTAGAAAGTTGAACCAAAAAGCTGTTATATGGGCTAACTGATAATAAAAAGAATGTATAATGAATGTTTATTTCTTATGGTTATGAGTTTTTTTTAATATGTTTTGGTTTGCGTATCTCCCCATATAAAATAACTAATTCGGATCAAAAAGCATATTTCAGCTAAATATCTTTCAATTTATCACCAGGTTCTTCTTGGTTGTAGGAAAATAGAGACAAATATTTCACAACTTTACTTCTTATGTCCTTATTAAAAAAACAAAACACACAAACATCTGGATAATATCTTCTAACGTTACAAACAGTATGATTATGCAATGCAAATGTTAGAAAAAATGTATAGAAAGGTATGATTCCTTTTTTCCCCACTCAGTGGAATTGAATTGTAAATGATCATCATAATGAATTGTAAAGGAGATGATTAATTACAATTCAATTCAATTCAGTTTACGTACACTCACCGGCCACTTTATTAGGTACCCCATGCTAGTAACGCGTTGGACCCCCTTTTGCCTTCAGAACTGCCTCAGTTCTTTGTGGCATAGATTCAACAAGGTGCTGGAAGCATTCCTCAGGGAGTTGGGTCCATATTGACATGATGGCATCACACAGTTGCCGCAGATTTGTCGGCTGCACATCCATGATGCGAATCTCCCATTCCACCACATCCCAAAGATGCTCTATTGGATTGAGATCTGGTGACTGTGGAGGCCATTTGAGTACAGTGAACTCATTGTCATGTTCAAGAAACCAGTCTGAGATGATTCCAGCTTTATGACATGGTGCATTATCCTGCTGAAAGTAGCCATCAGAAGTTGGGTACATTGTGGTCATAAAGGGATGGACATGGTCAGCAACAATACTCAGGTAGGCTGTGGCGTTGCAACGATGCCCAATTGGTACCAAGGGGCCCAAAGAGTGCCAAGAAAATATTCCCCACACCATGACACCACCACCACCACCCTGAACCGTTGATACAAGGCAGGATGGATCCATGCTTTCATGTTGTAGACGCCAAATTCTGACCCTACCATCCGAATGTCGCAGCAGAAAGCGAGACTCATCAGACCAGGCAACGTTTTTCCAACCTTCTATTGTCCAATTTCGATAAGCTTGTGCAAATTGTAGCCTCAGTTTCCTGTTCTTAGCTGAAAGGAGCGGCACCCGGTGTGGTCTTCTGCTGCTGTAGCCCATCTGCCTCAAAGTTCGACGTACTGTGCGTTCAGAGATGCTCTTCTGCCCACCTTGGTTGTAACGGGTAGTTATTTGAGTCACTGTTGCCCTTCTATCAGCTCGAACCAGTCTGGCCATTCTCCTCTGACCTCTGGCATCAACAAGGCATTTCCGCCCACAGAACTGCCGCTCACTGGATGTTTTTTCTTTTTCGGACCATTCTCTGTAAACCCTAGAGATGGTTGTGCGTGAAAATCCCAGTAGATCAGCAGTTTCTGAAATACTCAGACCAGCCCTTCTGGCACCAACAATGATGCCACGTTCAAAGTCACTCAAATCACCTTTCTTCCCCATACTGATGCTCGGTTTGAACTGCAGGAGATTGTCTTGACCATGTCTACATGCCTAAATGCACTGAGTTGCCGCCATGTGATTGGCTGCTTAGAAATTAAGTGTTAACGAGCAGTTGGACAGGTGTACCTAATAAAGTGGCCGGTGAGTGTATTTATATAGTACCAATTCACAACACATGTAATCTCAAGGAACTTTACAGTTTACCAGATCATACAGTCAGATTGATTAAACTAACTTTTAACAGGTCGAAATCTCCAGCAGAACCAGGCTGTGTGTGAGCGGCCATCTGCAGAGGCCTACTGGGGTTCAAGGAGACAGAAGCAAGGATACAAAAAACAACTGTAAAAGGCGTCCCCATCCAGGAAACACACAGCCAGGCAGACCAGGTCCGAGCCAACTCCCATGTCAGAGGATGAAGAAAGCACATCCAGTCAGAGAAACAGGACTACACTGAAAAACAGGCCGACATTTATAAACTAAGGTGTTGATGGCAGCAGCACAGCTGATATTTCTCTCCAGGATGGTTTCACTGCCCAACAGGAACAGGTGAGGCGAAGCTACTATGAGAAAAAGCAGAAAGCATAACGTTAGAGATTGAACTAACAGATTCTGCAGAGTGGGAGAATAGAGATAGAATGAAGCAGAATTATGAAAGAGGATAACCTGTGCCACTAACTATAAGCTTTATCAAAAAGTTAAGTTTTAGGCCCACCTTTAAAAGTAGACAGGGTGTCTGCCTGACGGACTGAAACTGGTAGTTGGTTCCACAGGAGAGGAGCCTGATAACTAAAAGATCTGCCTCCCATTCTACTTTTACAAATTCTAGGAACCACTAGTAAACCTGCAGCTTGAGAGCGAAGTGCTCTGTTGGGAACATAGGGAACAATCAGATCTCTGATATAAGATGGAGCTTGGCCATTTAAGGCTTTATATGCGAGAAGGAGGATTTTAAATTATTTTCTGGATTTAACAGGAAGCCAGTGAAGAGAAGCCAGGATAGGAGAGATATGATCTCTCTTTTTCATTTTCATCAGAACTCTGGCTGCAGCATTTTGGATCAGCTGATGGCTTTTAACTACAGTTTGTGGACTTCGTGATAGTAAAGAATTACAATAGTCCAGCCTTGAAGTAACAAATGCATGGACTAGTTTCTCAGCATCAGCCCTGGACAGGATATTTCTCATGTTTTGCAAAATTCCGCAAATGAAAGAAGGAAATTTTAGAAACCTCTTTGATATGGGATTTAAATTACAGATTTTTTACCTTATTATCTGGTTCAGTTTAATCCCATCCAAATTAAGTTACTGACTAATCAGCTTCTTTTTCAAAGACTCTGGTCCAAAGACTACAACTTCTGTTTTGTCTGCATTTAGGAGCAAAAAGTTAAGATTCATCCAGGTTTTTATGTCTTCAAGACATGCCTGTAATCTATGTAATGGGTTAACTTCTTCTGGATTTATAGACAGATATAGCTGAGTATCATCAGCATAACAGTGGAAATTAATCCCATGCTGTCTAATAACTCTATCGATTGGGACCATATACACTACTCAGAAAAATTAAAGGAACACTTTGTAATCAGAGTATAGCATTAAGGTAATTTAAAGCAGAGGGGGTTGTTAATCAGTTTCAGCTGCTTTGGTGTTAATGAAATTAACAACAGGTGCACTAGAGGGGCAACAATGAGACGACCATCAAAACAGGAATGTTTTTACAGGTGGAGACCACTGACATTTTTTCGTCTCCTCATTTTTTCTGACTCTTTTTCATCAGTTTTGCATTTGGCTAGGGTCAATGTAACTACTGTTAGCATGAGGGGCTACCTGAACCCTACAGTGGTTGCACAGGCAGTCCCACTCCTCCAGGATGGCACATCAATACGTGCCATTGCCAGAACGTTTGTCTCCCAGAACAATCTCAAGAGCAGGGAGCTGGACAGGGATGTAGGAGGTCTACAACCCATCAGCAGGACCGGTATCTGCTCCTTTGTGCAAGGAGGAGCAGGAGGAGCACTGCCAGAGCCCTATAAAATGTTCTCCAGCAGGCCAATGGTGTGAATGTCTCTGACCAAACAATCAGAAACAGACTTCACGAGGGTGGCCTTAGGGCCCAATGTCCTCTAGTGGGCCCTGTGCTCACTGCCCGGCACCGTGGAGCTCGATTGGCATTTGCCACAGAACACCGTAATTGGCAAGTCCGCCACTGGCGCCCTGTGCTTTTCACAGATGTGAGCAGGTTAGTCCTGAGCACATGAGACAGACGTGAAATGGTCTGGAGAATGTTATGCTGCCTGTAGCATCTTTCCGCATGACCGGTTTGGTGGTGGGTAAGTGATGGTCTGGGGAGGCATATCCACGGAGGGACGCACAGACCTATACAGGCTAGACAACAGCACCCTGACTGCCATTAGGTATCGGGATGAAATCCTTGCAAGGGCGTAGGTTTGATTTCAACTTTGGTAGGGACACTATTCTTCAGTTTCATTGGTCCTTTGCAAAAATATGCATGCTCTTTTTTATGCTTAATGTGAGCTCCAGGGCTCATTTTGTTTAAAGAGAACAGCAGCATTTCTTACTACATTTACACAAATCTTATAAGCACTACATGCACTAGATGCTGTTTATCAATATTTAAAGCATCACTGGCTCTGATGAATGTGGAATTAGGACTTCTTCCACTTTGAAAAGGATTTCATTTAAATTTACCTGCTACTAAGACAGTGTCTGTTTAACCAAATATAGTTTATAATATGTGGATTTATGTGTTTTCTTCTGAAGATAGAGAATTGTGCAGAGGTAAAACCCACTCTTATTTTTTTTTATCTAATATGCTCTCTCTGGATCATGCAAAATAATACATTCAAGGGACAGCAAATAAATGTATTGTATTTACATGTGCACTGGAACTAGAAGAGGAACTGACACTGAGCATTTAAAGTATTAATACTAAAAGTTGTACATCTGGGCTGTAGTTACTCTGTGTAGCTAATTTCATGTATTTTATCTATGGCTGAAACAATTAATCATATTAACAAATTATTTAAATAATCGTGAACTAATTTAGTAATTGATTAATCGTAAACTGGAGTATAGGGCCACTAAAATGTGCCTTTAGCCGACAGAGCGACCCACTTAGAGCAGGAATTATACCAAGATTGTAAAAAATATGTAAACATTTTGCATTTAAGAAGTAAAAAAAAAAAAAGTTTTTGTCTGTCAATATTCTCCATCCAGAACTCCTCCAAAGGAAACGTTTAAACGTTTCTGTTTCATCTGGTTTCATTTCATAAAAGATCTTTAAGGAGCGTTTGGCTATCTGATTAAAAGATAAAATAAAAGAAATCCTAACGTTGTTAACTTACATTTCTCAAGTTCCACAAATCAAAAAACTCTCTCCTGCTTCTTTACAGAACTCCAATCAGAAGCTTTCGCCTGTTTTAGCGTAGATAATAAGTTTTTTAATTCGGACTAGTTTCGTAGCCCAATATTAATTTATTTTAGCGTCTTTTTTCGCAGCTGCAGCTACCAGGCAGAGAAGCTGCGAGAGGAAAAGAAGCGGCTGCTGTATAGTAAATTATAAATATGTTGTTCACATCCAATTATTGGTAGGGACAAATAGGTCCATCCAAAATTTTGATAGGGACATGTCCCTATGGTCCCTATGCAAACCTACGCCCATGAATCCTTGAACCCATTGTCAGACCCTATGCTGGTGCAGTGGGTCCTGGGTTCCTCCTGGTGCACGACAATGCCCGGCCTCATGTGGCGAGAGTATGCAGGCAGTTCCTGGAGGATGAAGGAATTGATACCATTGATAGGCCCCCATGCTCGCCTGACCTAAATCCAATAGAACACCTCTGGAACATTATGTTTCGATCCATCCGATGCCGCCAGGTTTTACCTCAGACTGTCCAGGAGCTCAGTGATGCCCTGGTCCAGATCTGGGAGGAGATACCCCAGGACGCCATCCGTAGTCTCATTAGGAGCATGCCCCGACTTTGTCAGGCATGCATACGCATGTGGGGGCCATACAAATTACTGAATACCATTTTGAGTTGCTGCAAGGAAAGTTCAGCAAAATGGACTAGCCTGCTGCATCATTTTTTCCCTGTAATTTTTGGGGGTCTTTGAATTCAGCCCTCTATAGGTTGATAATTTTTTATTTCCATCAAATGATGAAATTATGTGGCATCCTTTTGTTCATAACACATCACCAAGTCCATATCAGTATAAATAAACAGCATGATTTTTTCCCCATTGAGATCTGATGTGTTTTCAAAGTGTTCCTTTAATTTTTGTGAGCAGTGTATATAGTAAAGAGAACTACACTGATCCTAGCACTGATCCCTGAAGTACTCCACAGGTAACCTTTGAGCATGAGCAAGATTTGTCATTAATGTGAACAATCTGAAATTGATCAGATAGATAAGATTTAAACAAGTCAAGTGCTGTTCCTTTGATTCCTATAAAATATTCAGTTTTTTTAAAAATAATATTAATAATATTATATTAATAATAATATGACCAACTGTATCAAATGCAGCACTGAGATCTAACAGGACAAGTACAGATAGCTCATTTTCCTTTACACAGGAAAAGGAGGTACCATAGAATGTGTACCAGCGTTGTCTATGTACCTTGCAAATCAGCACATTATCTGTGAAATACTGGACAGTCAATCAGGTTTCAGTGAATAATGTCAGGAATAAACTGCCAGATTTCAGTTTTTGCACCCTCTCTGTTCATCAAAAAGGGTTCAATGGGGAAGATAGAAAAATGTGATGGAATAGAAGTGTAATTTAACACCTCTGTCATTTAATAGAATCCCAAATAGGAAACAGATTCAGAGATGTAACGCCATCTAGCGGAGACTTGGTGAAATACACATTATTGAGAATAGATTAAACCATTTATCATGCAATAATGGGAAAATAAGTGTGTGAAGGTGGCAAAACAAGAAGTAAGGTGTAGACTTTTATTAAAATGTTAAACATTTACTTCATAGCAAAGGGGGGAAACATGTCACGAAATAAAAAATGTGAATTTGGAGCTACGCACGACACATTGTTATAAAAAAAATTGGATACTTAGATTAAATGAAAATGTTCAACATAAAGATGACAAAAGCAGGGTGTTAGAGAATATAAGGTGGAGAATTTTGAGAATAACGAAAAAGGAGGCAAAAACCCCCACCTTATTACTCAGTTAAAAGTGGCAGCTAGTGTGTGAACCTTAATTGATCTGTTGGGATTCCTAAAAGAAGTTTACAGAAAGTTCTTTGTAAATTCGCTGTTCGGTTGTCTTTCAGTGAAGAATATCTGCAGTTAAAATTTTTCAATAATGTATTTTATTTCAAGTGATTTTTCTCCCACATAATGGAATAGTTTAGACTAATAATAATAACAACAATGTTATTATTATTATTATTATTATTATTATGAGTGGTAGTAGTAGCATCATTATTATGTATAATTAAAGAGGGAATATTTACAGAAACAAAAAATATTTTCATATCGGCATTAGAAGATGATGGAAAAGGACTTTCTGAATTAATGACTGTGAAGGGTAATAAAACAACTTTGACCAGAAACGCAGAGACCATGTTCTTTATCACAGCTATAACAAAAATCATATACTAAATAATTTTCATGATAAAATTATAAAAGATTTATAATAATTATTTAATAAACACTGTTTAGATTTCATGATAAAACGAGCCTAAAACAATAAGAAAAACTACATTTCCCTTCAATCACTTAAACATAGCATCACCGGAAGTTTGCGGTGTGAGTATAAAATCATTTCCGCATCCTTCCTGGGTCCTTTCCTGTCTACGGCCCATTGGAAGATGGCGGTGCAAATCTCCAAGAAGAGGAAGGTTAGCGGCATTTTATCACATTTTCTCGCCCAGATAACGAGTTTCTCATAAAATGGGGCTGTATCCCGAAGGATAGAAGTGTTCGCTGTTGGTTCTGCTGTCAGCTAGACATGTACAGCTCCGATCCGCAAAGGATTGCTCTAGATGCTTCGGCAGTGCTGCGTCCTCCTCATTTAGATAGCTAGCATGGCTGTTTTACCGGGGCCTCAGTTAAACCTTATAATAATCCAGATTTTAGTTAGAAAATATTGAGATAGACGGCCTGATAACTCTAAAACACGTTTTTCTTATAGCTAAACTGGCAGCTCGTCAAACTGCGTCCAGGGTCTTCTAATACTGAAGTTGGCTTTTGTACACCTAACGATACACTGACATTTTGGTTGATGAAGAAACTATCCAGATACTATTTCTATTAATGAATGTAGAATAACGCCATTAAACTTGTGATAAGAGAAAAACAACGGTTTCGTGAAACAGCACATCCTCAGCTCACCTTACTCTAATTTAGGTCCCTGTGATAGTTATAACAGACTATAAATAAATGAATACTCTATTTTCATTGTGTTCCAACGTTTCTGCAATATTGTTAGACATTTAATTTTATATCTTTATAGAATATACTCAAATGTGTCCTAAAAAATTGTAGGTTAGAAGTCTGAATCATGACTCATATGTTTAATTCTAAGAATGGCAAGTTGATTTGTGTAGCACTTTTTTACCAACAAGACTGTTTAAATTGCTTTACATGATAAATACAGAAAACTTATTGTGCAATGCATCTATATCAGTGCTTATAAATATTGGCTTCCATGCTGTATAGATCTCTGGATCTCCAGTCTGTAGAGAATTGTCTTTTGATCTGTACTATAACTTTCAGAAATGCATTTATATAATTTCATGGGTCAGCAGCCAATGATGTTTGTTTTTTAAAATAAAAGGAATGTATTCTCCTCTTAGTTCGTTGCAGACGGTATCTTCAAGGCCGAGCTGAACGAGTTCCTGACTCGTGAGCTTGCTGAGGACGGATACTCCGGTGTGGAGGTGCGCGTGACCCCAACCAGGACAGAGATCATCATCCTGGCCACAAGGTCAGTGCCGATCAAACACATGGTCTTTTCAGGCCATTACGATTAATTTTCATTTGTTTCCTGTAATTAGATTACTATTTTTTGTATGTGTGTTTCCATTATGTCTTAAAATCTATTCTGCTGAGCAGGACTGAAGAGGGAATGTGGGTTGTATTTTAATCCATCTGTGTCTAGGATATGTTTGAGCAGATGCATCAGAGATGTTTCTCCGTGTGTCACCTCTGTGTTGTCCACATTTCAGCACAGCTCAGTGTTTCTTTCTCTCTGCAGGACCCAGAATGTTTTGGGAGAGAAGGGCCGTCGCATCAGAGAGCTGACTGCTGTGGTCCAGAAGAGGTTTGGCTTCCCTGAGGGCAGTGTGGAGGTAGGTTACCCACTACAGCCTGCAATCAAACAAACACATTTTCTTTTCAAAATTCAGCCTCAAGAGACAAAATAAATTAAACATTTATTGTTGTTGAGACTGATTTCATCGAAACATTATTGATATAAAGTTGATTATTTATGATGGAAATGTTTTGCACCAATCAAAATCTTAAGATTTGTTTTACTTTGTTTATGCAAAGTCTGATTCCCCTTCTGTGATGATTCGATGACGAGACGGAGTAGGAACTTCTCTGGTTCTGAAGGTGACCGGTTCATGATCACGTTCTGTGGTTTTGCTCCAGTTCTTCAGATTCAGGGTTCCTTTTAACGTGAAGACACAGAGGCATTTGTCTGAGAAGGGTTGAAATCAGAGCTCCATGTATATTATAAACATAAAGGCTACAGCTGTTTGATTTGACTGCTGCAAACTTCCTTTATGTATTTTATCCCGTTTACTGTAGATGCTTAAATAAATTTGAAATGTTTTTCTTTTTTTAGTTGTATGCTGAAAAAGTTGCCACTCGTGGTCTTTGTGCCATCGCCCAGGCTGAGTCTCTGCGCTACAAGCTGCTGGGAGGCCTGGCCGTGCGAAGGTAAGCAGTGCTGTAATGTAACATGCCAGAACAACAGAGCTTAAAGAACCCCATCCCTGATATTTGGTGGTCTCTATTGGGGCGCAGGAAATTAAAGTTGAAGCTGGAGAGGCTGATTAGAATGCCAATTTCTCTTTATAAAAATGAGTGTGGAAAGAGAAGCTGTTTAATGTACCCCTAGTCAGAAAGTCAGTGTCAAACACTTTTATTTCACTCAACACAGTTAATGGCTGCACAGTTCAAGATTAACTGAAATTCTTCCAGATAAAACTAATTTGATTACTGTAAACTGTCATTTCTGGCAGCTCTGTAAAGTTGGGTCTGCTTGCAGAAAAAAATTAGACATGTGGAGGATAAAGCTGTGCATGTTGCAGTGGTTGGTGTCAAGCTAATTCCAGAAAGGGCCGTGTGGTTTTCTTTCCAAGCAAACAATAGCACACCAGACTTCAGTCATCTCATCAAGTCATCATGTTCAGATTGGACTGACTTAATGAGGTGACTGGAGTCTGGTGTGCCATTGCTTGGTTGGAAAGAAAACATGCAGCCACACGGCCCTTTCTGGAACCAGTTTGACAGTCTTGTTTTGGAGGCTTCTGTGGAAATGTAGGTATTTCTGCACATAACTCTAGTAAATCACAGAAGGTTTGATATGAAGGTGAATTGTTTGCTATGCCTAATTAAGTGCCCCTTCGGTGATGAGACGATGACGAGTCGGAACGGGTCTCTGTCTCGTTTTGGTGGCTGGTTCAGATTCACGTTCTGTGGTTCTGCTCCAGTTCATCAGGACAGCGAGGCCCCTTCGCTTGAAGACATTGAGGCATTTGTCTGAGAAGGGTTGAAACTTTGTTGATACTGAAGCCTAAAGGGCTTTAATAAAAAGTTCTTGACACTTATTTTTCGTGTTTACTTTGCATCATATGTCTGTGCAGTCGGTTTTAAACAGATGTATTTATTTTTAAGCGCACACATGTTTAGCAATTAGGTTTTATCTGCTTTAAATGTCCAGGGCCTGCTATGGTGTTCTGAGATTTATCATGGAGAGCGGGGCCAAGGGCTGCGAGGTGGTGGTGTCTGGCAAGCTGAGGGGTCAGAGGGCCAAGTCCATGAAGTTTGTGGATGGCCTGATGATCCACAGTGGAGACCCCGTCAACTACTATGTTGACACAGCAGTTCGCCATGTGCTGCTGAGGCAGGGTGAGTACCCTCCCATTCTATCAAGTCCTGAGACTGCTGAACTAAAATAATGATCAAAATTACTCCATAGTTGTATGTCAGTCAGCAAAAGTACTGCTTTGCTAAATCTCTGAATGTTGTGGCTTTTCTGCCATACTCAGGTGTGCTGGGAATTAAGGTGAAGATCATGCTGCCCTGGGACCCCAGCGGTAAGATTGGCCCCAAGAAGCCCCTGCCTGACCATGTCAGCATTGTGGAGCCAAAGGAGGAGAATGTTCCCACCACACCCACATCAGAGCAGAAGGGAGCCAAGCCAGAGGTGCCCGTCATGCCCCAGGGAGTACCCGTACCTACCGCATAAAAGGGTAAGACACTGCAGGGGCCCCTTTTACAGCGTTTGTCACATTTCTAAACCATTTAGTGGTAGTCTGTGTTCTTATGCACTATGGAAGTAGAAACAAACAGCCATAAACATTTATGCATACTTCCTGGGTCTTAAGTAAAAGTCATGAGAAAATAACTTTGATTCTGTGCTTTAGGGCCCTGTCACACCATGCCGATTTAGGCAGCATGTGCCCGAAGTCCCAGAATGTCGTAATATGCCGGAGGTCTCTATTAAGCGGGCGCATGAAACTAAAGTTGAAGCTGGAGATGCTGTATTTTTTTACAATTTTGAGCGCATCCATAGCATATTCATAACAAGTCCAGAATTTGTCTGACAGCCTTACTTATGCATAACATACAGCAGTGTACTGCAAATGAAATTATGCATGTGCATCGTTTCATGGGCATTACGCAGCATCAGTTAAAGCTGCTCCCCTCAGGCACATCGCTGTTCCTGACGGGAGCAATGATGATACCTCCCGCCCCCCAAAAAATTAATAAAAAAAAGGAAAAGGGTTGCAGTCGCAGCAGATTCAGCATCATGTCTGCTAGGAAGTTTGTTGGTCGTGGCCGTGAACGCATAGGGGATCCATCACATTCACCTTCTCTCTCACCCTATGATGGGGATGCAGTCTGCAGGAGAAGTTACTCATGGGTATGGATAAGCTGGACGCCACAACTTGCACTTAACGTATGTCAGGGATGAGATGACTTACCTGTAACTTATGCCCGACTTACGGCATACGCTGGCATATGCAATGCTCAAAATTTCCCTACGTATTTGCCATGTCAGCGCGTGCCAGCATGTTTCAGCTCATAACTTAAACAAAACATAACTTATGCGATGGATGCCGATTTTCCATACTTCAGGTATACGCTGGTCTAAATCGTCAATGTGTGACTGGGGCTTTTAAGTCAGTGATGGTGGTTCTGGCCATGTGGCTGAGAAAGGCTGAGCGTTACAATAACTGTCACATTTAATACATTTACAGGCAGTAGAAATATGGCTGCTCTAATCTCAACAGCTAAGCTAACCTTATTAGGCAACCCTATTAGGCATATTTTAGAGGGGCTGATGTGGCTTTGAATTTACTAACCCCAACTATCTGCTGGCCCTAAGAGATCCTTATCTGATTCCAAAATAGAGGGAGATGCTTTACTACTCTACTGCCTCCTAGTGGCTAAAAGTTACAGTTCTGGTTTATGAGATGAACTTTGGCTACTATTTATTAAGCGCATCCAAACAAAGGGCTCTCATTGTGTTCTTTTAGATTGTGCACACATCAACCAAAAGTGTTAAGTGATTAACTTTTTTAAATAAAAAAATCAAGGACATTAAAAGAATTTTGTAATTTATCTGTCAAATTCAAAACTCTTACATCTTTCAAATAAGGAGCTATATGCCCCACTCCACTACTTCCTGAATGTCATTATTTCCTTTAATTACTGGACATACTGATTAATCAGGTGTCTGGCCAATGTCGTCATAGTTACTGATTTCTGACACCTGGATTAATCAGTCTGTCCTGTGATGAACGAGAGGGAACAAACATGCTAGCTGAGGCTTAGTTAAGTAGTCTAGTTGTGCATATAGCCCATTGCTTGCATGTCTTTCCTTCTGAATAGAAAAACGCTAGAATTCAGACTTCACATAAAACAGCAAATGAGAGCAAAAAAGGTCTGATTGGTGCATCTTTAATTGCACTTTTATTTATTACTTTACTGATGCACCAACAACTTATTGGCTAACACTACAGTAAGAAATTAGTGCTTCAAGTAACACACCAGGGGTACATTTCTGAACATGGGGTTGGATGGAACAGTTTAGATGAAAAGCATTCACAGATGTTTTTATTTTGGGTATTCTGTGTTCCTTCTTTGATGACACGATGACTAGTCTGACCAGGTCTCATACTGGTTCTGGTTTTGACTGGTTCAGTTTCACGTTTTGTGGCTCTGCTCCAGTCAGTCAGACCGGTGGGATCATTAGTTGAAGACATCGAGGCATTTGTCTGAGAAGGGTTGATTTGACACAAAACATATTCAAAAATTCAGCCAAAATCAAAGCATTTCCATCCAATCATGTTGGAAAAATAAAAATATCTTTTTTTTTTTTTCTCGGCTAGATTATGATTATTAGTTTGACACAAAAATTTGCAAAAATTTTAACCCTGATTTTGTTTTGCAGGTTTTTGTCCTTCGTACTGGATGGATTGAAGACCCTGGTGTTTTTGTGTACAAAAGAATAAAATCTGGAAAATACACAAAATGAGTTTTGGTCTTTATTTGCAAACTTTTATAACTTCTCTATAAATAAAAATTAAGACACACTTCTTGAAGCTTCACGAAGCACTAAAAACCTGCATGTAATGTGCAGACTTGGTGTCTGCATTTATTAATGCAAGGGTCTAGAAGCTTTGTTTTTGTTTTAATATATCAATCTTAACCAAAGTAGAGCTGCACTGCTCTGAATAAGTTTGTGAAAATGAAAAAACTAGACTGGAACATGTGGGTGTTGAAAGTAATGTGATGTTTGACTAAGAGTTGAGATGGTCACTCTGCTTCAGGTGGCTCCTTTATCAGAGTTGGAACATTTTAAGATATTGAGAGTGAATCTTTTTTTTTTTTGACTGCAGAGATAAATGTGTTCAGTAATCAAACATTTCTAAGAAAATAATCTAAATTATAGATGCATTCAGTTCAATTACTTTCAGTGTGAGTGATATTAAGAGTTTAAAGAGGAAGTTGATGGCATGTAGGATATTTTCGACTATTGGTCAGACTGGTGGGTTTTAAAGCTCAGGATTTGCACACCTCTAGGTGTCTGAGGTGTGCAGGGAATATTGTTGCTGATCCCTTGCACCACAGCCACAAACTATTTCACACTTCCCTCTGGCAGGAGGCTGCTGTCCAACGCACCCTAAAACCTCTCAGAACAAGAACAGCTTCTTCCCATCCGCTACCAGCCTTATCAACAAGGCCCAGAGACCCTCTTGACACTGCCTCTCTCCCGCCCCCCTTCAGGACCTAGAGGCTACACCAACGAAGCATCTCCTGGATCAACATTTCCTGAAGGAGAAAAAAAAAGACAATGAAAAATATTACATTTTCTGGTATTCTCCATTGTTATGGTCACTTTTAAACTGTATTCTGTTTGCTCTTTAAACTCCAGATAGAAAAGCAACACAATTAGATTTTAAACAAATGTTATTGGTAATTGTTTTTAACTTGTCGATATTAAATAAGTGAAATGTCATTTTGTATACACAATATTTGTTACATGTAACAGATATAACACGTTACAATATTTATTCACACCTATTATTAAATCATATTTCTGTCATGGTTTCTTTTTCTGTTAAAATTTAAAATTTCCTATGTATGGGCTGATACTCATAAGATCAGTTTAAAAATAGGGAAAATATCGCGGAGTGAGACATCTCTATAGCGCACCATAGTTTGTTTATAGATCCGGGTTAGGCCACGCCCCCTTGGTTCTACCTGTTCCAGCTACTTGGTCCCACCTGGATCGGACGTTCAGAGTCACAAGATGAGTCTACCGGACTACAAATCAAGTGGAAAACAGGCTTCATCTGCGATATCAGTAAGAAAATAAACCCATTTCTTTGGTTTTTAGGTTATTTCTGTAAGTTGAGGGAACATTTCCCCTGTTAGAGCAAAAAGTTGCTGAGATCAGATCCGTATGGAAGCCCGTTTCCGCCACTCTGTAAAAAAAAAAAAAAAAAATATCTCAATATAATGAGATAGTATCTCATTATAATGAGATAGTATCTCATTATAATGAGATAGTATCTCATTATAATGAGATAGTATCTCATTATAATGAGATAGTATCTCATTATAATGAGATAGTAACTCATTATAATGAGATAGTAACTCATTATATTGAGTTACTATCTCATTATATTGAGTTACTATCTCATTATATTGAGTTACTATCTCATTATATTGAGTTACTATCTCATTATAATGAGATAGTATCTCAATATAATGAGATACTATCTCATTATAATGAGATACTATCTCATTATAATGAGATACTATCTCATTATATTGAGTTACTATCTCATTATATTGAGATAGTTTTTTTTTTTTTTTTTTTTTTTTACAGAGTGGCGGAAACGGGCTTCCATAGATCCGCATGTTTGTTTGAGCAAAATGACTATTTTAATGGGTCCATAATTCTACTCTAAATAAAACAAATTTCAGAATATTTACTGAGTCGTTCTAATAGCTGAACAGAAAGATAAGGTCTACATTTCAGGTTGGTTTCTCTCTTGAAATCAGATCTGACTGATGATCTTAAAGTTAAAAAAAGAGATGACCAAAACGCCCCAGTTGATTAAATAAGATGGCTGCATTGGTTCATTTTCACCTCAAATTTAAATGTGCTGAGGATCATCCTTCACTCCTGGTTCATGGGGATTCTCTCTCTCTTTTTTTTTTTGAAAGTGTGACAACAACCTTTCTTATAACCAAGTTGCACTGGCTTAAATCTCATAAAAGGTCTTTAACAGGATTGTTTAAGTCCTTTAATAATGTAACTTTGAGAGTTTGTTTTGTTCATAACTTTAGAGGTCAAATGGCTTTAAAGAAATCCCATATCATCATTGATCACCACTTGCAAAAACAGCTGACAACTAAGTGTCTCTGATAAACACAGTGAACACCTTACGTTCACTGTATTCAGCTTTCCCTACTCTTAAAGAAATTAGCATACATACACTTAGATGTTAATTTTATTTGCCGTAAAGTTTAAGATTATTTTTTATTATTTATATTTAATATATGCCATGGCCCTCCATTTTTTTCAGGCAGAAAAGATAACACTCCTCACAGCAGACTTTAAAAGGCAAGCAAGTTATCTATTTAACACATTTCAGTAGCAAGACAATTAGAAGCTATGTAAATAATAGGACATATAGAATACGAAAATACATTGCAAGATAATAAAAAATGTATTGATGTTAAGGTACACTATGCAACCGGTGTTGATTTTCCAGTGAGGCTCCCCCCAGAGGGCGAAAGTAAAAGTGCACTGTCGTAAATGTGCTCAGCTGTTCTCCTGGTTTCTCCGTCAAGCCAGGCGCGGTTGTTTTGAGCTTAGCAGCGAATGACTAACGCTGCGTTCACACTGGATGTAGCTGGCGCGACAGAAGCAGCGAGTTTACATGCAAAGGTCCCGCGGCGCGTTTTGAGCTGCAGGCGCAGCATGTCTAAGCGGCTGCAGCAGCGCGTCGGGTGAGAGACAGGGAGAGAGACACAGCGCTGATGATCACTGCTCTTAAACAGTTTATTGACGCCTAAATTAACTTAAAATGCAGAAATCTGCCGGCAGAATATGCAGTTTGAATTATTTAGATGAAAAACACCTACCAGCTGCCGCGATGAACCGCTGCTGATGAAGGGATCCATACTGTCGGCGCATCCCTGGTATGTGGGGGTCTGAGCGGCTCCGACAGAAAAAATATTGAAGGCAGGATAATAATCTGAATGAACTGACTGCACTGATTACGTTTTCAGGTGTATTTTCTCACTTAAACACATATTAAAACTACTTTATTCCCACTGATCACAGCAAATATAGCTGCAAGGCAGAGAAAGGATAGTGAAGCTCCGCCCAACGCGCCTCAGACACACTTTTGCAGCCAGAGCAGCAAAGCTGCTTCAGCCGCGCGTCAGTACTAACTGGTACAAGCAGCAAAAATGAAGCAGCAGATGCGATTTTGCTGCTTTTGCTGCGTGAACGTAGCATAACTGCACAAAGATTGCCACTGTGCTAGCAACGAGAATGCTTTTAACTGGGGGGTGTAGCAGTTCTCGCCGTAAAGCAAGACTGACTCTCACGAGACTTCTGAGCCTGTGGGTGCGGGTCGGTGCTCCTGCAGTTGCAAGTGCAGTATTTCCCCCACAGACCACCAGGGCGGCCGAGAATACCTTTGTTCAACCTGAAATGACTCATTTAATCATCCATAACGTTATGGAACACATTAATTAACTGAAAAATGTTGCATAGTGTCCCTTTAAGATAAAAGAAGTTTAACTAATAATGTTTAGTACACTCTAGAGTATCGGATCAAAAGAACTAAAAACTGCTTTTCGATGTTTAGTTTTGGCTCTGGGTGTGCAGAATAGACTTAAAGGAATAGTACACCCAAAACATGATTAGCCTTCATTTTCTACTCACCCCCATGCTGAACAAAACTCTGGAGTACTTTTTTGATATCTCAAATGCATCTGGAGATCTGGGAGGCTTCTTGCTGTCTGCTGACATTCAAATAATGGAGGTCTATGGCGCCCGAGACAGAAAGGTCCACAAAAGTCCACAAAAACGTGTCAATATTCCTCCATACTGCTCGTCCAATGTAATCCAAGTGTCCTGAGTGGGTAGCATCCAGAATTTACTCGAAACGAAGTCATTTAGAATGTTTTTAGAGCCTAAACAGTAGTGTATAGGATTTCCTAATAGCGCCCCCATGCGCGCTCACGATTCTACGGAAGCCGGCAGACCAAACCAGCGCATTCAGCTCGGCAAAGAACTCATGCTCTTCCTCAACACTGAAGTCCTCAGACATTTTTCTTTCGTTGTTTCTTTCTTTGCACAGGTAAACAGCACATTTCTTCTTCTACGCTTGCATTATCGGCAGACCAGACGCTGAATGCGCACTTTCTTCCGGTTTGGTCTGCCGGCTTCCGTAGAATCGTGAGCGCGCATGGGGGCGCTATTAGGAAATCCTATACACTACTGTTTATGCTCTAAAAACATTCTAAATGACTTCGTTTCGAGTAAATTCTGGATGCTACCCACTCAGGACACTTGGATTACATTGGACGAGCAGTATGGAGGAATATTGACACGTTTTTGTGGACTTTTATGGACCTTTCTGTCTCGGGCGCCATGGACCTCCATTATTTGAATGTCAGCAGACAGCAAGAAGCCTCCCAGATCTCCAGATGCATTTGAGATATCAAAAAAGTACTCCAGAGTGTTGTTCAGCATGGAGGTGAGTAGAAAATGAAGGCTAATCATGTTTTGGGTGTACTATTCCTTTAAGCCAGACGATCTGAGAGGTCTGGGTGGTTGATCCACTGACAACACAATTTGCTTTGTATTTTGGAGTTAAGCCATGCAGCAGTTTAAAAGACAGCAGAAGCATTTGAACATCTACTATTTGAGAGACAGGAATTCGGTGTAGCGATTTCAGCACTGGGGTGATGTGTTTTAGTGAGCATGCTGGCAGCAGCATCCTGAAACATCATCTAAATAAGTGGTCCTCCTAATTGTCAATCATTCTGGTCATATGTTTACGTTAGGCGAATCTACGTGCTATCTTTTTCTGTGCATGCACACTTTCAGCTGCATGTGTCGTGAGCTACGGTTTCAGTCATTGAAGCTCGCCTTTGTTACCGTGGTTCTTTCAAAATGGCAGAGGGTCGTAAGAGATAAGGTGTCCATGAAGTATATGAGAAGAAAAGAAATCCTCAGAAGAGGCAGATATATCCCAGAATGCTGATAGAAGGACGACTTTGTTTATCTCTATATGAGACTCTGAAGGCTCAGATCTGAGTCCATCCCTACACCCAGATTTAGAGCCTAATTGGTGGTTTATTGCTGTATTAAGAGAAGCTGTGCGCAAACTTTTGAACACTCTATTTTTGATCCAAAAAATATTTCTCAATTTGTTTTACTGTTCAGCTGAAGAAATTTTTGTCACTTCCATGCTTTTATTTCTTCTCTGCATTTAGCCAGGGCTTCAGTAGGTTCATAGCCACCTGTAACCTTGTAATGTACAGTTGTGTGAGGTCTGCATATTTGTGGTAATTTATTAAGATCCTCCACCTTCTCCACTTCTTCCCCCATGATGTTAATAGCGTTCAACTTTCCTCTTCCTTCTGAAATCTACAATCGTCAATCCGTGTTGATCAATGAACAATGTGTTTGGGTAATGAAGGAATTTTTCCAATTTTGATTTATGGGAAATTATTAGTGTTTTTTTTGTGGTTTTCATGTTGTAGAACCTTAAAAGACGAAATAATTTATTTTAATGTCATTAATAATGGTTTTACTCTCTATAATAGTCATGGCAGAATTCAGATATATCTATATATATCTCCAACTCACTGAATTTACTATCATCAGTCAACACCTGTGAGAAATATCTTTATGTAGATATAAATAAAACAAAAAATAAATGTCAACATTATATTCTTTAAAAATCTTTTGTCTGTTTGTGGTTGTTAACATCACTCTCCTCCCATCAGCCCTCTCCTGTCGTTCACTTGAATGTTGGGGGCTACCTGTTTAGCACCACACTGAGCACGCTGAGGAAACACCCAGACTCCAAGTTGGCTGAGCTGTTCAGCAGTCACCCCAAAGTCAGCACAGATGGACAGGGACGCTTCTTCATTGACCGTGACGGTTCCCACTTTGGAGCCGTTCTGGAGTTCCTGAGGTCGGAGAAGCTGCCAACGGAGAACATCCGTGAAGTTTACAAAGAGGCTGTCCACTACAAAATCAAACCACTTATCAAACGACTGGAGGAGACGCCTGAGCTGTTTGGAGAGCTGGTGGGACGGCAGCAGTTCCTCTCCAAGGTCCGGCACTACCAAGAAAACATTGAGGTCAGATGGATCCTATTAACAGTGGTTCTATTTCATCCCTACTGACCGCCAGAGGTGGTGCTTCAAGCACTGAATGATCACTCTTGCTCAGGTCGAGAATGAGTATCAACAAAGTCACCTGTGACCTACCAGTGATCAATATAAATCTATAAGTGTGTTCAATTTCAAAGGCTGTGTCCTCCAAGGACGTGTGGGAGAACTTGCACTGTGTGGAGGTGTACAAATTTGTGTGTCTTTAGACAGCTCTTTGGTCTTGGCCATGTTAGCAGTTGGGTTCTTACTGATTGTATCAGGTAGACAGGTGTCTTTATGTAGCTAACGACCTCAAACAGGTGCATCTGATTTAGGATTAGTAAGTAGAGTGGAGGTGGACATTTTGAAGGCAGGCTAACAGGTCTTTGAGGGTCAGAATTCTAGCTGTTAGACAGGTGTCCAAATACCTATTTGCGGCTGTATCATACAAATAAATAGTTAAAAATGTATCTATTGTGATTTCGGGATTTTTATTTTTTAGGTTCTCTCACAGTGGGCATCTACCTATGATGACAATTTCAGACCCCTCCATGATTTCTAAGTGGGAGAAATTGCAAAATAGCAGGATGTTCAAATACTTTTAATGGACTTAGGGGTAGGGCTGCAAGACAGAAGCTTGTTCCCTCCAAATAAGAGAGCCAATAAGTTTCTTTACATTTTAGGAAGAATCTTTTGTTTTTGAGTTAATCAGACTGCTGTCAGCACTGTGGTCTGTGATTGAGGTTTCTGTGGTAGTGGGAAATGATAAAATTAGCATTTACACATAAAAAAGGCAGTTTTTGTCTATAATCCTTAGGTGACTGCTTGAAAAAAAATGAAAAGATCAGCTGCACTGTCTTTATTAACTGTAGTACTACTGAGTACATTCAAATTTTTATCTAATTTTCATTCTACCTAATAAAGTGCATTATAGTATGCGCTGTTGCTTGAGTCATTGACAGAAAAAAGGAGGAGGAATTCTTAGGTTTGAATTAATTTTATTTAGAAAGACAATTTTTTAAAATTGTATTACTTATTTTTATGATTTTTGGATACAGGTAAAAATTTGGATCTAGAATGAAACACATTTATGTCTGCGTAATTAAATAAATCCAACATTAATAACTCATTAGCAAAAAACCCTTTGAACAGGTCTAATCCTCTTTCAGGTTCTGATCCGTATTGCCAGAGCGGAGGCTGTGGCTGCACGCCGCTCCACCATCCTCATCGCCGTGCTGCAGACGGAGGAGGACTTGGGTTCCTACGGTGATGCTAAAAGCACCCTGGAGGCGGGCAAGGAGTCAGTGGTGACATTTGGGCCGTGGAAGGCTGGGCCGTCGGCCAGAGACCTCCTTGATTGCGTGAAGATGGACATAGAAAGTCGTGGCTACAAAGTGAACATCGAGCCTCACCATCCGGAGCGGGGCTTTCTTTTTAAGACCTACGACATCTTCTACAATCTCACCTTCACCTGGTGGTGATGGGGCACACGTCTGTGTGGTCAGGACAAAACTGTCTGTGGGTTCAAATCAAACAACTGCACTTTGTTTCTATATAACTTAAAGATAATAAGCTACACCTTCTGATAAAAATCAAGAATAAAATTAAATAAATTACACATTTTCTTTCCTTTCTTCTTTAAGGTGGGCAACATTTTGTAAGAAGTATTGGATGTGTTAATGTCAGATCTACAATCATCCTTTTTTGAAAGGTGTTGCTAACATGACGTAGGTGTTAATGTTTTATTCTTCTGTTTGCTTTGAACGTTTTCACAGCTTTCTCGGGGATTTCACTGTATGTGGACGGTATTGCGTCAAACCCATGATATTGGGCAATCCACAGTTGTCTTAGAGGAGAAACCAAATTTGTGAAGAGGCAAAAGATGAACCAGCATCCTGGTTGAAAGCAGAGCAGCTGCCCCAGAGTTGGCCGTGTAACATTTAAAAGCAACCAAACCACATCCTGTGAGATGAGTTTGGGCTATGGGAGGTGGTTACTTACTAACAAAACCTAGATTTAATAAGGATTGCATGTATTTTTAAAATGTGTCAATGTGGGCATTCTGGAGATGTCTAAAGTTTTGATAGGTTGTTTAACATCTTAAGCTCTGAGAGTAGCACGCTTTCCATCTAATTTCGAAACCAAGACATGGCCGTACACCTTGATAAAGGGCCTGGCTAAACATTTCGTAAATTGAGTAGCAGCTAAGACTCATGGTGTTTATGCAGGAGCTGCAATGAGAGTTTTTTTTTTTTAACTAATCGGATGTTTCACTTGAACTGAGATACTGAGAAAGGTTAGCTTTTCAATAATGTTCCAATTTATTAAATGGGTCCTTATTTGTGTGATGCCATATATCAGAAAATGTACATTCATTTAAATAAGCTATACATGTTTAATAAGTGTAAACTAATTATCCGAGTAACAATCATTCAAGTTGTCAACAGCCGTAGAGGTTGGTGACACTTTATTGCAGCATACATAGGAAAAAGTTTACATTTCACTCTCAAAACACCAGACTATGTATAACCTTTTGCTAGACAGGAATATTGAATATAAATTTCCTTCAGTTATTTATTTTTTTATGTTTAACGAGGTTTATTAGGAACAGATCTACAAAAAATAAAAATTGCTGGTTTAAAAAAACTTTAAATTGTCACAAATCAATACTGGTACTTAAAACTGCAGCAGATAAACTGACTAACAGTCCAACATGGAAAGAATTATACTGGAAAATAATTGTTAGATATTTCAAAACTCCGTACCTTATTTCCAAATTTGATCAAACTAAATCAAACTTGTGCTGGAGACAGTTCGGAATAGTTGGAGATCAGACTCATGTCTTTTGGGATTGCCCAAAGATTAAGAAATTCTGGGAAGGAATTAGAGAGGAAATTTCAAATATCTTGCATGCTGATATTGATTGGAATCCCCGGATCTTTGTTCTGGGAATTCCACCAAATAATTTATGTAAAGAAGAACAATACTTATTTGGTATCCTTGTTCTCGTAGCCAAAAAAATGATAACAATATGCTAGTATACACCTTCACCCCCTACTGTAAATCAATGGAAAGAGAAACTAGTGAATGTTTATACGATGTAGAAAATAACAGCAAAATTAAACTTGTCCACTGGTTTATTTGAGAAAAGATGAAACCCTTTGAAGACATATTTCCAGTTAATATGGTAGTAAGATAAGCGTAAACACACATCTCTGTTATGATAAAAATAAAAGTCACTTGAGAAAGATCTCATCCTCCAAGTAAAAAAAATATATATATATATATAATGATAAAGAAGAAAAAGAAAAAATGGATCTTCAGCTCACCGACCTGTTTGGTTGTTGTTACCCAATTTTTTGTATGGTTGTATTGAAATTGTTGTTTCTGGCTTATTGTATGAATCATTGATTTTGAATATTGATCTGATAAAATAAAGTCTTTGTTCAAAAAAAAAAACTGCAGCAGAAACAGTTTAAGCAGAAATAAATGTATTAGTTTGAGGATAAACTTAGTGTAAGAAAACTGTGAAAACAGATATTATGAATCAGTGGTCAAGCTGAAACATCTGGGCTATCATATACAAGATAAAATGCAGCTGCCATTATTACGCATCATGGTGCTTTTTCACCTTTCTTCATCTTACACCATTTTTAACTTTCCTTTTTACAAATTATTTGACATTGTTATTGAAGGAATATCATAAAAGCAGATTATGCGAAAGGGAAATAAGCTAAGGTGACACCATGAGCATCAGAAGGTCTGCTCTGAGTTACACACTGATCTTGATACCATAAAAGATTATGTGCTGGCAAGGGTAATGATGACTTTTTCTAGTAGCTAACACCGACCGGTACTGATGCTGTGTTTTGTCAACAGGCAGAAGTGGGTAGAGAAAATGTTCCCATGTCCTGCAACTAATAATCAAGTTCAGTTATTAAATAGAATAGTATGGAAATATCCTTTATTGTCCATTGGACAGGAAGGTAGAAGTATGCGGATACACAATGACGTAAAGGATGAAAACAATAGAAGAATGAAACTGAGTGGAATAATTTAATAAATCTAGGAAAATATGAACATACCTAAGTGTAAGAAACAACAGACTCTACAGCAAAGTGGCAAACTACAAAGAACAGCAGAAACCCTTATTTAGTTTGTCAGGAGCATTGATGGTTAGTAAGTCTTAACAGCTACTGAAAGGAAGGAATGATCTGTAAATGTGCTTCTTTGGTCATATAAAGATTACTCTCTAAAGTTATATCATTTATTGCAGCTGTACACTTAAAATTTTTAAACCAATCACATATAAATAATACAATTTCTACTCTAATACTGTAATCAATCTGGCTGGACAGACTGCCAGTAAAATAGAATAGAACATTCCTTTATTGTCCCACAATGGGGAAATTGTGGTATTCCATTCTCAAAGGAAATCATACAAAACTGCTTATGATGAGGACAGACATGTTTTTCTCAATTTCTCCATTTATGCAGCTTTGACAGATTTTGTTTTTTTGTTTCTGACTGTTCTGTTAGCTTTTTGCATAATGGACATATAGAACCCTTTTCTTCCTCCTCGCCTAATATTATAGGTCACCTCATCAAGTTTCCACATTGCAGTAGGGTTTGTGCAACATACAGGGTTTTCACCACAAAGTATCACAATTATACTTCCTCGAAGAAAGGAAGAATAAAAAGCCCAGGTGGTAGAAAAGATGCAAACGACTGCATTTCACACCTCAGACCAGAAGTGAAAAAAATGCTTGTGTAATGATAACAACAGAATGATTTATTTTATTTCTGTATAAGAAGGGACAGTTCCACAGGGGTTCTTTAAGGGTAGAAAGCAACATCAGACTTTTCAAATTAAACCAATAGACAATGATAAAAACAGTTTGTATATGCTTCTTTTTTATAGTCTGTTTCAATCTAAAAAAGCAGTTGATTTGATATAAAATTGGGAAAGCAAGTTTAATGATGAATATTATAGAGTGATTTTATTTGGGAGAAAAATTTTAAATACTTTACATATAATGTCAGATGGTTTTCTCTGACTTCTAATTTTATTAATCACAGACACACCAAATGTTTAGGAATGATAGAACTGCAGTTAACCCTCACATAGCACATTCATAAGTATTAATACCCCAGGACCAGAACTCGAGTTGAGGACAGATGAGAGGGGATGGCATTCCCCTTTTTAAAATAATCTTAAAAATCATCCCCTTTCTTAAATATCCATCCCCCATACAGCTATGCCCCATATCCCTGTGACATTTTATTATTGAATGTGTAAAAGTTCTACTATATATTGACAGTAATAGCAATAATGTTACCCTTTCAACATTTGGCGGGCTTACGAGTAGCCTGAGCAAAATCAAAGAAGTGTCCTACCACGACTATGAAGCTGATCCCAGTGGGAAATGACTCCCTAACTATGTAGGGTCAGTGATAGCCATGCCAGTCCAGGGACTGACTGCTGTTCTACTGTAAGGTGCCCTGGTCAAGGTCAATGACCAGCGTACCTGACATGTAACAACCATAACATGCATATTGCTCTAGGTTAATAGAATATATTACAGTTTTTCTCAAATGCTAAAACACATTTCACAAACGTTTCATCCATGTTCTTCAATGTCTAAACACAACACCCTTTTCTAAAGCTACATAAACACAACCACACCTTCTCCCTTCAAAACTCAAACTTTCACACCAAAAGAGCAGCTCGAAGCTTTCAAAAATGTAAACACTATACACATCATTACACACTACAGCAAAACAATTGAAAACACAATGCTCAATTTGTGAGAAGGTTCTTTGTTTCTTTACTGCCAATGCATATTTTTAGAAACTTTACAATTATGGTAAATGGTAAATGGCATGTACTTATATAGCGCCTTTATTCAAGTTAGGAGACTTGACCAAAGCGCTTTACACTACATTCATTCACCCATTCACACACACACTCACACACTGATGGTGGCAAGCTACATTGTAGCCACAGCTGCCCTGGGGCTCACTGACAGAAGCGGAGCTGCCGTACACTGGCGCCACCGGGCCCTCTGACCACCATCAGTAGACAATGCAGGTGAAGTGTCTTGCCCAAGGACACAACGACACTGAAAGTCGGAGTCGGGGCTTGAACCGTCAACCCTTCAATTACAGGGCAAACTCCTCCATCCAACGCCACTGTCGCCCCATGGATCTTATGGATCTTCTTAGAGTTCTGCAGAGGATTGGGCATTTAGATTTGTGAGTTTCATATGAAGGGTATAAATCTATAGTAAATTCTGTACACTACTGTAACACAACTCACTGCAAAAGCAGAATCTATTGCACACAACAGTACTCTTGAAAACATGATCAGGGTGTGAAGTTTTTTTATTCATTTTACAGTATTTACACCACAATCACTGTGCGGCATCATGTCGCTGAGCTGCATCAGGCCACATCACCTCATCCACATCACAGGCTATATTGTCTCTTGCCAGGCACCGTGGGAAAAACGCCCTGGAATGGCGGATCCATCTTTGGAAGTTCTCCACTTGTAACAATCTTGGTTCTGTTGTTTTTCTTTAAGTTTTCTGTTTCAAGTTTAGCCAGGTTTTTCTTCGT